TTACCCTTGCATCTTTGGGGTTTCTTCTCAAAGACTCTGTGTAGTGCTTGATAGCATCAGGGTATTTCTGCTCTTTGAAGTACTCATTCCCTGAGATGGTTATATAAATAAAAAAATTAAGTTCATTGATAATGCAACATAAAGAAGACCGATGGGAAAAAGAGAATCAAGAACCTAACAAGAAAAGAAAAAGACCTTTTTCCCGTTCTTTGTCAGCAAGTTCAGGATCATAATACTCCTGTTGCTCCAACTCTTTCTTTGCTCTCTCTGCATCATTGAGCCTCTTCAACGTGTCAGGGTTGCGATGCTCTGTAAGAGCTTTTTGAAATGTCTCAATTGCAGGTTCATAATCTTTGGAGGTTTTTGCCATTTTAACCAAAGCAGTTCCTTTTCTTGTCAAAGCCCTAGCAACCATCTTATAATCTGACCGAAGCTCTCTTCCYCTTTCAACAGCTTTGTCGCAATCTTTAATACATTCATCATACTGAACGCAATGGAGGATGTCTTATGAGATGGTTAAAAGTAAAATTTGAACAGCATAAATTGTATTATGTGTCATTTTACAAAATAAGTAACAACAAAATCCATAATCGAAACAAAGGTTATTACTTGCATTGTACTTCAAGTCTACCAACAAAAATCCATAGTCTCAACAATGCAACCAACAAGGAAAAAAAGGGAAACCAATAAATAATGACCCATGTTCGACCAGAAAACCAGAAACAGAATTAGTTCACTCAGTCCGTTGGCAATAGACTACAGCACAAGCACCATTGATTGAATATATTATATATGTTTCTCTGCAAATGCAGGGCCAGCATGTTGTAAGATGAAATAAAATATAGGAACATAACAATGCTCATAATGTTGCAATAAGTAAGAATACAAAACTTTGATTTTGTACCCAATAAGATAAAAACCATCCTATGTTGAACAAGATACTCTGAGTACTGTGCAAATGACACTCACACGCCACAGATACAAATATACTTCAGATAGTCGATGGCATTTGAGGATGGATAAAGCAAAACCAGAACAACCTATTCTGTCTGGTTCAAATGTATGTGAAGATGTTTCGAACCACAATGGCATGGTCAGCCAAAGGATACCGCATCAAAAAAGTAAACAAATAATAAAGCCAACCAGAAGACAGTTGATCAAATACAACAGCAGATAAACTCAATCAATAAGAATCAAATTGACATCATGCAGGTCCTACAAAGAATACAGGAAATCATCATATGCAGAATCTTATATAGCCAAATGGAGGGTTAACACCCAAAAACGTCATGTTCTTAATTAACTTCCGAAGCAGAATGGTTAAGATATGATGTACTCAACCAAATTTCTCATATTCAACCGTGTCCATTAATGCCTGAACAGGGAAAGTTTTAATCCTATCAATATTAACATAGAATGCAACGAGTTCAAGCTTTGCAGCAAGATTCCTAAAGGCAAAATGAACACTAAGCTGAGGAACGAAGCTTCGTTGACAAATTCTGACACCCATCATTTTTTAGTGAGTATTACACCAAGAATTGACAAACCTTTAGTTGTAACCGTGATCCTAAATGAACTCCTCTATATACTAATTAAAACCCACCCTAGATTTCCTCTCACGTACCTTTTTATACTTCAAACACACCAATTTGACCTAAAGGGGTCCAAATAGCAAGACCAATGCTTGTTACTAGCCATAGCACTACAATCTCCTATTGAAGTCCAAAGAGAATTCCGCCTACAATATCTGGTCAGAATGACTCGTCAAATATGGAAGTCCTCAACTTACACCCAACCCACCACTCACTCTATACAACCCCGGACCTTAGCGCCAGCAGTAAGCGAGTGGGGTGCAACAAGCACTTTAACAACATCCAAACAAATTACTATAAGCTAGTAGCTTCAGATAACTCCGTCCAGTCTAAACCAACTACTTGGAAAGTTGGAATGACCAAGTTAATATACGCAGAAAAATTCCTTTAGCAGTGAACACAAAGATATCCCTCTTAACATTGTTTAAATTTGGTTGGTATGTAGATAAATCCTAGTGCTTATCTAAGATGTGAATATAAGTTTGGACCAAAAATATCATTAGTGCACAGACAAACTACATACCCTAAATTAAGTTTTAAATGTAACCGTTACATAAGAAGGGTTAGGTCCGGTAAGAAAGATCTACACCCTTGGATGATGAGATGCATCTCCACCCTGGATGATGAGATGTTGGGTGGGTTTGAAATTAAAGGTGACCAAGGTTCACACCACTTCTTATGCTTACTTCTCATCCTAACTCATCAACGATACATTCGAGGCCTGACAATATCAAGGGAAAAAAACATACCTTCCCCATTTCCAAGTACACTGCAGCCCTATTAGTRAGGAACGAAATATCACCATCATACAATTCCAACGCCTTCGAATAATGTCCAATAGCTGTTTCAAAATCCTTCTTCTTATAAGCAGCATTGCCAGCCTCTTTCTCTTTTTGCGCCTGYGTTTTCTTCTCCTTAATATCCTTCTCCTCCTCTGACACCTCCATCRGTTCTGGCTCCGGTTCCGGCTCAGGTTCCCGCTTCTTCTCCTTCACCGGCTCTGGTTCATCTGCCGGACGTTTCCTCTCCACAGGAGGAGAGTCCGGCATCTCCATATCCTCACCCGCAGATTGCATCTTGATGTTCAACAAGACGCTAAGCGCTTGCATAACTCTCTGATCCTTCAAATACAAATTCAAATTGCTTGGGTTTCGTTGAAGGTCTTGCATCATTTTAACAAAATCCGGTTGTTGCATATACAATCGCGTGGCCGGATCAGCCGTTAGCTTTGCCCACATATCCGGCCCAAACGCATCGCCGAACAAATTATTCGGCGGCGCACGTGATCTGGAGGAAGAAGCAGCGGCAGATTGAGCCGACTGAGCATCCGCAAGCCCAGATTTTAGGGTTTCATTATTCGGATCGATTTCAAGACCTTGCTTATAAGCGGATACCGCATCCTCGTATTGGCATAAGCCATGATGAGCCGCACCAAGYCGAGAGTAGCCTTTCGACCAATCTGGTTTTAGCTCAACGGTCTTCTTAGCATCGGTAAGGGCTTCCGAATATTGACTTAGCGAAGCGTAAGCGGCGGAACGATTAGAATAGAGGACGTGGTTTGTAGGAGCGATGTTGATGGCATCAGTAAAGTGCTTGATTGCTTCCGTGTAGTTTCCGGCGGAGAAGGCGGCGTTGCCCTTAGCCTTTGCTTCGTCGGCCATCACCGTCGATATGTTAATTGTTTACTTCGGTTTGGACGGAAGACTTGATTTTGTTGGTGTTTTCCAGGGAGAGAGGGATAAATAAGGGTTTTCACCGTAACCAGAGACTTCTAGGGAGAGAGGTTCTAGAAAGTTCTTGGTGGGTGTGCGAGACCACTCTTGGTGCACGTGAGGAAAACCGAAGCGGTTTGTTTGGTAATAGGTCTAAATGTAAATTGTTATAAAAAGGGAAAATTGCACTAAAATATAATCAACTTTCATCTGATTTTTATTTTGGGGAACCAACTTTTAAAATCGTTATTTTGGGAAACCAACTTGCACCTGATTCCTATTTTGGGGAACCAACTTTCAAAATAGTCATTTTGGGAAACCAACTTGCAAAATAATTATAGAAAAATAACTAAAATTCGTTTTTTTCAAAAATTAATGCAATAAAATCTATTTTTCATTTTAAATCTCGTTTTTTTAATTCAAATATCAAATTGAACATTTTTTAGAAAAAATCCAAATTACCACAATAAAAATTATTTTTTACTAATGCAAAAAAATCAATTTAATAAAAAAAATTAATTGATACTGATTGGTTAGATATAAAAATCTTGAATGTGATATTTAATATTTATTTTTTTTCTATTAACTTGATTTTTTTTGCATTAGTAAAAAATAATTTTTATTGTGATAATTTGGATTTTTTTAAATGTTTAATTTGATATCCGAATTAAAAAAAAAGATTTGAAATGAAAAATAGATTTTATTGTATTAATTTTTTGAAAAAAACGAATTTTAGTTATTTTTCTATAATTATTTTGCAAATTAGTTCCCCAAAATAGGAATCAGGTGCAAGTTGGTTCCCCAAAATGACGATTTTGAAAGTTGGTTCCCCAAAATAGGAATCAGGTGCAAGTTGGTTCCCCAAAATGACAATTTTGAAAGTTGGTTCCCCAAAATAGGAATTAGGTGCAAGTTGGTTCCCCAAAATGACGATTTTGAAAGTTGGTTCCCCAAAATAGGAATCAGATGCAAGTTGGTTCCCCAAAATGACGATTTTGAAAGTTGGTTCCCCAAAATAGAAATTATGTGAAAGTTGGTTCCATTTTGGTGCAATTTTCCCTTATAAGAAACGAAAAAATGTTTACTTTTGTGCTATTTGTATATCCGCGTAATGCGTCAAAAGCCGTGAATTTTAACGATTTTGAAGTTTCATTGGTTTTATTATAGAAGATTTAACGATTATATAAGTTACACTTGGTCTTTACATATTAATATAATTTGAATAAATAAGAGTTATGATTTCAATTATAGTCTATCGATGGAAAAAAAATTGTATGACAGTTTAAAATCCAATATATTTAAAATTCAACATATTTAAAAGACTCCATAAATGTGTTAGATTTATACCAAGAGCAAAGAATCAAGAGATCGAGAGTTCTAGAGCAATTGAATGGGAGATGAATGAGAGAATTCATGTGAATATGAGTTTGAATCTCACCTTGGGGATGGGGAGAAGACATAGAGGTATGAAAGGGTGAAGACATGAGTGAAAGGTGTCAAAAGTATCTTGAAAACATAAAAAAAAAGGTAATAATGTGCATTGATAACTTGTACTAAATTTTATTTTAATTGTAGATTAAGAGATTTTAAGACTAAATGCGTAAAGTAGTAGTAGTAGTATTTAATACATTATGAGTTGTTTTTAAAACTTTTAAGACTTTGTGCATAAATGTATAGTATTTTGTGCATTAAAATTTGTTTTTAAGACTTTTGATAAATCTGGTTTATAAGGTAGTATAGATAATATTAATAGGTTTAAATTTGTATTTCGGGTTAAACTTGACATTTTCAATCCTCAACGTGAACCAAGCAGCCCCTGAGTTTTTTTACATTATTTTCTTGTATTAATGTTTAAAGATCAATGTTACAATCGTGTTTGCAAAGAGGATGGTGATTATGGACGTTCCCTAAGATTCAAAAACAAGTCATGACAAAGAAGAATGTATTCTTTGCAATTAGATCGCTCTATGTTAGTGTTTAGGCTTGAAGCATTAAATTTAAATATATGACTTTGGTTAGATATAATACATCGGGGTTTAGAATCAATGTAGATGGTACTACCAATTGTAAATGTTTGAAGGTGATCGATGTCTACCTTTTATTATTAAGGAATGTTAAAGCATTCTCCAATTATCCAAAAAGAAAATTCAAAAGGCCAGATGAAGTTGACCAAGTATTTAGGCTAATTTAAACCCCAGATTGAAAAAAAAATGTTGGGCTCTATACTTCAAATAAGAAAAGAAAGAAAGGTCAAGTGTTTGTGTAATTACGTTACTTGATGAAAGTTGATAGTAGTTCAATAGTTGTAATGTAAGCTATTGAGTACACAACCATGTTCTAAAAGGCCGTTGTGGCTCAAAACTTGTGTCTCATGCTATGCTAAATATGTGGCAATGCCATGGCCCACTGTGTGGTTTTATAACACGGTATTTGAGTTTTCTCATCTCTTAGTGCCTTACCTTCAAGTTTTTGATATTAGCCTAATTTAAATTCTTCAATACCATTGATTCATAGGTAACAATAAAAAAACGTGTATGTATAACTCATCCCTTAAAAAATGTTGTGATGTCGTTGTGGCTCTTAAAGGCTTGAGACTTGACCTCATCGTCACGCCATACGTACTGCTATTTATAACATTAATACACAACGAACCCATCAATAAATTCACAAACATTCATTTATTCATTAACATAGGTATGTTGGTAAATGGCGTTCTATTGCACAATAACTACATAATGTTTTCCATACCGACTCTCTTGAAGTAGTAATGCTCCTAAGCATTACAACATCTTGCATTCCAACGTAGTGTGCAAGTTTAGTGATTAGTGCATGGAAGAAAAGACGACAATCTGAGATCTATTTATAATCAAACCAACTATCATAGAAATCCCACATTTCAACATCAATGGAGCAATCGCGAATAATGTTGTCGAATAGCCTCAAGCATTGATCACATAGGCCGTCTCCCCTCGTGATTGGGAGGAAATTGGTATACATCAACTTGTACGACACAAAAGTTTGTCTTAAAGTTGTGAGTGACAACGGTCCATACGTTTGCTCTACAAGAATGCCTTCAAGTCTTCTCTAGCTTAGCTATAGCAACCAACATTATATTCATATATGTTTCACTTACCATGCTCCTAGTTCCATTTATCTCTGAAAACCATAAAAATAGTTGATGGCATCAGGGGAATAAGACGAGCATTTTGGTCAGGGTCGTCCTAATCTTTTTGGAGTCCCTGTCACACCTGTTATCACGTACTACTATTATAGTTCAATAACAAGGCACATTAAGGGATTCTTGGGACAACTCCTCTTATGATGGCGATAACTTTTCATTCGTTTTGAAGTGGCTTCGATGTTAATAGAAGGGATATAGTTATGCTTACTCCTTGTACTACACAATTTCCAGCCATACTCAGCCTTTGGATCAAATATTGGACTTGTAAACTTTTGCTTCTTATTTGCCCCTTTTTGAAATGGATTTGCCATTTCACCAAAAGTGCTTCTTTGAGATGTGAGAGCAGAAGTTGAAGGACAAAAATATATACCAAGCAAACACAAAACACAATCCCAAGATTGCCACTGATGTGAACTTTATTAAAAAAAAAAACCCATATGACCTTTTCGCTTGTCGACCAAATCAAGCTATAGGCAAATCCATCTTCTTTAAACCCATCGACTTAAAAGTTAAAAAAACAGATGGAAAACTACTTTACATAATCAGTTTCAATGAATAGGAATAAAAACAAACAGATTGTGGGCATGAATGGATAGTGAAGTCAGAACTCAGAAGTGTTAATTGTAAGCGAAATGATGTAGAGATCAAGAAGAATAAACAAATTGTTAAAGTTAGTTACCAATTGAATCCTTAACAAAATTGCATTGACATAAGCGATGCAAATGATACCCATGTGCGTTCTTAGCCTGCTTGAATCTTGATTCAACTTCCAAAACAAGTTGGATCACAAAATCGAAAAGGATCCCATGAAATACTAACTTTCTGATAAGAGTAGAAAAGGGAAGTAACCAGTTGGTAGACGAAATCAAAACCAAAAACAAAATCGGTAACTTAAAGCAAAACCAAACGAAATCAGTAACCTAAATCAAAACCAGGAACTAAATTTCGTAATCCAAACCAAAACCTAAAGCAAAATCAGTAACGGAAACCAAAACCAAGAAAAATAGTAACCCAAATCAAAACTAGTAACGAAATTGGTAACCTAAACTAAAACCAATGCCACCGAAGACTGGTCGGTTATATTTCACACATCTAGACTTAATGAAATTGGGCCGAAAAGCAAGTATACAATACGGCCCAACGTCGCCTTTCCAAGTAATAAGTGGTACAAGTACCGGATTATCGTCCACAGAGATTGTAGCCAAAGTTAGATTAGAGTCCAATGAAATAGATGATTTCAGATGACGATTTTGAAGACTTTTCTTTGATTTTAAGGTTATCCAAAACAGAATACAGAATATATAAAAGAAGCAAGGGTGTAAGACATAAGGTGAGACCCAAACACAAATTCCAGCAGCCAATGTTGTAGCAATGCCAAAGGAATGCTACAGCAAGCAGTGTTTCGAAACTAAGTTCCACCATCTATTTTGAAGGCATTCCTCTCGGACTTCACCATTTCACTATCTTATAGCTTTCCACCCATATCTCTATGAGGTGTCCGGACCGGGGATAGTGACACGATGATGTTTTCAAAATATATGGATAAACAAATCTCTTTGTTAAAAATCACTCTCTCGAGTCGATTCTCATATCATTCGAGTTGGCGTGTTCTTGATATTTCATCTCTRAATATATCACACTTTGACACTTTTGACAAGCGACCAACCCGTCGGAAGTTATGTTTTGAAAAACATAAATGACAAGTCTCCTTATCGGCAACTTTCTCAAGTCTACCTCTTACGTCATCCAAATTGACGTGCTTAATGATGGCTTATCTCTAAGTCCATCGCACTTTAACACTTTCAAGTGATCAACCCGTCAAGAAGTGTGCTTGGTTTTATAAAAACTCGAATGAAACAATGAAACGTCGTTTTCGAAAACACTTAGCTACTTT